GTTCTACCTCTCAGACATTTTCTTCATCTTAGTAAGCGGCATCATCATCTGCCCAACAGCTCAAACCACAGCCTTTGAAGGCCCCTAGACTCCGGGTGGCCACGGCCGGCCCCTGAACAGGCCCTGCGGACCCGCCTTCAAAGCCTGTCCCAGAGCCGCAGCCAGTCCAGTCTCAGCAGGAGCAGCTGGGCCTGAACGTCCTCTCCAGGGAGCCACCTCCTGGCCCTGCCCCCATCCTCCCTCCTGAAATTGGCCCTGATCCGCAGCGCTTATACCCGCCTGGTTCCCCATCTGCTATACCCGCCTGGTTCCCCATCCGCTTAGAGTTGCAGCCAGACTCCTCGCTGTGGTCCAGGGCATCCTGGGCGCCCAGCCCTGCCGTGTCCACCTCCCCTTTCTCACTCTGCGGTACCTTCTCTCCCTTCGCCCGACAGTAGGCTGTGTCCTGCCCCCTCCCCATACTCCTGCGCTGCCTCCAGCACCCACCCAGCCTCTGCTCAGTGTCCCCTCCTCAGAAGGCCCTCCCTGGCCTCCCATCCCAGCGGCCCTGGAGCTGGCTGGTACTTGGCCCGTCTTCTCTGGACCACAGCCCTTCCCACTTCCTGGACTGTTCCTGTGAGCTCATGGCTCCCCGTCGGCCTCTCCACTAGCACCGGAGGCCGTGACAGCAGGACACGCTGTCTCTCCCAGTGTCGCCCCCGCCCCCACCCTCGGAATAGTATCTGGGGTGGGAATGACAAGTAAATACAGGAATGATGACTGACATTTGCTCTCTAAAGCTTTCGAATTTGGCCCTGTCCTAACTCAGCCCCCTATTCCAGACTAGACCTTTAACACCCGCCTGCTGCAACCAGCAGCCATCTATTCATTCATCAAACACAGGTGAACGCTCGCGGTGAGCCAGGTCCTGGCCAGCTGCTGGGGTTCCGTGGCGAGCAAACCAGACCTAGTCTAGCAGGTCTACACAGTGAGCCTCGGGCATGCATGCATGCATGCATTCATTCATTCATTCATTCAAGAAACACTTCTGTGGGGTTTATGATGTCAAGCACTGTTCTAAGTGCTTTTCAAGTATAAGCCTCCTACCAATCTACGAGGTAGGTGCTGTTATGAGCCCCATATTAGAGCTGAGGAAACTGAGGCACAGAAAGGGGAGGTCATGCAGAGTGGGAACTAGACCCTCTCTCTCCCTTTGCTTCACCTCTGCTCTCCTCCAGGCTCACCCCGACCCTCCTGACAGTCTCTTACTTCTGGCCCCACCCCAGCCTCTCCTCCTCGGGGCAGCCAGTGCGGGCAGGGCCGGGAGTGCCACAGCTCTTCCGGCTCTGGGTTCTGGGTGGCACCGGGTGCAGCCCAGGTCTGAGCCCTGGCCAACATCCCCCCCTCCCCGTGCTCCCCAGGGTCCCCCCACCTACAGGCTGGGAGCTCCATTTCTGGTGTCAGGAGTGGGGAGAGTCCCGAAGCCCAGGGAGGAGGGGTTTACACTGTGACGCCTGGTGGGGGACCCCCAGGAAGCTTCCCGGCAGGAGAGCCTCACTCATTCAGGGCCCCTCAGTGAGGAGGTCCCGTCGCTGTCGCTCATCAACATGCCATTGTTTAACCCAGAGGAGTTGAAAACGGTCCTTTCCGCTGAGGGTCGGTGGCACACGTGGCTGTCGGTATGTGAGCGTCCAGAGAACATGGGCAGGAGGCAGACTTCCCAAGCTGAGTCTTTAAAATGCAATTCTAGACTCTCACCAATTGCAATTTCATTGATTGGATTTTCTTAAAGCATGGCCTTTCAGATTTGGGAATAAATGGATTCAATTGAGAAATCAATGCTTTTCTATACCAACCATTCAGGAAATTAATTAGTCTGCCAGCAGGCCGGTCCAGCTCCTGGGTCCCGCTGAGAGTTCTTGCAGTAAAATGCTGTGCTGTCCCACTGTCCTGACATCAGGAGGGGGTGTTCCCGTGACTGTTCTCGTTCGTTAGCGGATGCTCATTGGAACGGCCAGTGTCTGCTCCTGTCCCCATTCTATAGATGAGAAGACAAAGGCACTGAGAGATCAAATAACTCAAAGAGCACCTGGCCGGGCACAGTGAGGAAGAAACCGAAGAAGCTGCAACAACTGCGGTTTGGAGAGCAAGGTCCAGGCCTCAGGAAGGACTGGTGGGGGCTAAGGAAGGGGTCAGGGTCCTGCCGAGGGGCAAAGCCCTAGGGAGGGGCAGCTGCAGAGGCAGTGAGCCTTGGGCAGCGACAGCTGGACTGTAAGTTACATAATTAAAACAGTGCGGTGCTGACACGGGAACAGGATGCTGAGAGAGGAAACAGGCTGGTGTGGATGTAGGAGTGGAATATGGTGTGAAAGTGTCGTTTAAAATCAGTGGAGAGCCGGGCTGACGGGGCTCAGTGGTTGAGTGCTGACCTGTGAACCTGGAGGTCACGGTCTGATTCCTGGTCAGGGCACATGTCCGGGGTGCGGGCTCCATCCTTTGCATGGGGCATGCAGGAGGCAGCCGATCGATGATTCTCTCTCATCATTGATGTTTCTATCTCTCTCCCTCACGTCATCTCTGAAATCAATAAAATAAAATCAGTGGAGAAAGGTCAGTTGATTCTGTAAGAGCTTAAAGCAATTAGTGATTCATTTAAGAAAGTTAAGCTAGATCCTTACCTCACAGTTACTAAGATAAATTCCCCGAGGAATTAAACAAACAGCAGTAAGTACGTTAGAAAAATATAGGAGACTCTGTGTATGGTGTTGGTTTTCTTAAGTCAGACACAGGAAGTGCAACCCAAAAAGGGAAAGACGTGCCCTAACCGGTTTGGCTCAGTGGATAGAGCGTCGGCCTGTGGACTGAAGGGTCCCAGGTTCAATTCTGGTCAAGGGCATGTACCTTGGTTGCGGGCACATCCCCAGTAGGAGATGTGCAGGAGGCAGCTGATCGATGTTTCTCTCTCTTTGATGTTTCTAACTCTCTATCCCTCTCCCTTCCTCTCTGTAAAAAATCAATAAAATATATTTTTAAAAAAACACAAAGGGAAAGACGGATGGGTATGACTACATCAAATGTCAAGATGTCTGACCAAAGCAGCCTAATTCACAATCACCCACAACTGGAAGCAACGAAGGTGCCCTTCAGCGGGTGATGGTGGATGAGCTGAGGTGCATCCCGACAGGGGAGCGTCATTCAGCACCAAACAGCGATGAGCCAGCAAGCCACGGAAAGACACGGAGGCACCGGAAACGCACATCGCTGAGTGGGAGAAGCCAGTCTGAAAGGGCGACCCAACAATCCCACGTTCCGGAAGAGGCAACACTACAGAGACAATGAGAAGATCAGTGGCCGCCCGGGCTGGGAGGAGGGAGGAAGGAGGAGGGTGGAGCATGGGGATTTTAGGGCCGGGAGCCTATTGGGCACAGGACTGGGGTCCCTGTCACTATACAAGTGTCCAAACTCACAGCACGTGCAGCACCAACAGTGGGCCAAATGTACACCATAGATTTAGTTAGTAACAATGCCACAAGCCCTGGCTGGTTCAGCTCAGTGGATAGAGCATCGGCCTGCGGACCGACGGGTCCCAGGTTCGATTTCGGTCAAGGGCACATGCCTGGGTTGTGGGTTCAGTCCAGTGTGCAGGAGGCAGCCAATCAATGATTCCCTCTCCTCATTGATGTTTCTATCTCTTCCTCTCCCTTCCTCTCTGAAATCAATAAAAATGTATTTTTAAAAATGCCTCAATATTGGTTCATGAATTGTAACACATGAACCCCACTAACTGTGGGGCGGAGAGAGGGGGCATATGGGAACTCTCTACTATCTGCTCAGTTTCTCTGCAAACCTAAAGCTGCTCTAAAAATAGAGTCTATTCATAACAAAAGAGGCCTCTGGGAAAAGAGAAGCAGGAAACTATGTGTAGTCCACGCAACAGACGGGATTAGTACCCAAGACCTATAAACATTCCTACCACGTGATCATGAAAAAGAATTTTTAAAAAGAAAGCTGTCAAAGGATACAGGCAGGCATATCCATAGAAGAAACAGAAATGTTAATAAACATGTGAAGATGCCCAAGCTCACTAACAATGAGAGAAATATGAGATGTAAAGCAATGTCGGGGTTGCGTGTTTCACCGTGCGATGGGCGAGATTGTCAGCGTTTCATCATCTCAAGCACTGGCCCGCGAGGCTGTGCATGAGCCCCGTAGGAGGAGCCTCTGGGGCTCCTGGCGGGACTCGGCACCTGTGTGTCACCTCCCCCTGATGTCCTGCCTCAGTGCCCCCAGCAGCCCTGGAGGGCAGCCCTCACCTGAGGTCAGAGAGCAGGGGAAGTGTCCACGGAGGCTGACACCAGCCCCGAGCACAGGCCCCGCCTCTGTGTCGCCTCTGAGTCCTCTGTGCCCATCAGGCCTGGGCCAGGCACTGGACGGAGACACAGGTGCCGGAGCCCCTGAAGGAAGTTCCATGATCAGGGCCAGGCACTTCAAAGTGTTGTTATGAAGATTAAAAGAGGCAAAAACAGAGGTGAGGGTCTGACAGGGTGCTTGGCCATAGTAAGTGCATACGCATCCCTGGCTCCCTTCTTCCTCTTGCAGCGACCCCTTCTCTCCTCAGTACCGTGTCGCTCCCTCTGCAAGTCGGTCCTTGCCAGTCGGCTGTGCACCATGGCACCGCGAGGGCTCCCGTAGCCGCATCCACACGGGGGCGCGGCCCGGGTTTATGAGCATGTCCAGTGGGCACCAGGCACTGAGGCTCCTCGGTTTACCCGCCTCCCCTTGGCTGTCACAGTCTCATCCGGGAGCGGAAAGTGCTGAGGCCCAGAGGAGGGAGGTGCCCTGCCCAGGGCTGCGCGGGGAGATGTGCGGGAGGGGCTCTCGCTCAGACCCTCGAACCGAAGCTCTCCCAGCCCGCAGGCTCACAGACTTGACCATGAGCCGCAGAAAACCATGCACCGATGGGCCTGTGGGGTGCACAAAGCCCCACCTTGCTTCCTGACTCCTTCTCTGCTCCCCCACAGGCCTCCTGGGAATGGTCGCCCACATGATGTACACGCAGGTGTTCCAGGTCACCGTGAGCCTCGGCCCTGAGGACTGGAGGCCCCATTCCTGGGACTACGGGTGGTCCTTCTGGTAAGTGGCTTTGACCTTCAGACACAAGAGGCCCGAGGCATGCTGGGACTTCAGCAGCTCAACCCAGGTTTGGGGGAGGCGGGGCAGAGGGAAGGGGGGTGAGCCCGGAGTCCAAAGGGTAGACAAACTCTGCCGCCTGGACCGGATCGGGCCCACTATCATTTTAATCAGCCTCAAGCTAAGAATGGTTTTTACACTTTTAAATTCTTGGAAATAAATCAAAAGAAGAAGAAGATTTTGTGAAATGTGAAAATTATGTGAAATTCAAATGTATAGTGTCCATAAATAAAGTTTTATTGGGACACAGCCACGCGCATCATTTATATGTAGTCTACGGCTGCTTTCCCGATACAGGGACAGAGGTGAAATGGCCCACAAAGCCTGAAATATTTACTGTCTGGCCCTTTACAGAGGAAGTTTGCCAGCCTCTGTCTTTTTTTTTTTAAAAAATATATTTTATTGAGGAAGGGAGGGAAATAGATAGTTAGAAACATCGATGAGAGAGAAACATTGATCAGCTGCCTCCTGCACACCCCCTACTAGGATTGTGCCTGAAACCAAGGTACATGCCCTTGACCAGAATCGAACCCTGGACCCTTGAGTCCACAGGCCGACGCTCTATCCACTGAGCCACACCAGTTAGGGCCAGCCCCTGTCTTAGAGGCTGTGGAGGTGGAGGTGGGCGAGACCTGAGGTGGGCGAGCCACGGGGGGTGCTGGGTGGTCCCAAGGGTGCGAGGACCCCAGTGAGGGGCTCCGGACCGCAGAGCACGGGGTGTGAAAGGCAGAACCAGCCAGGATCCCTTTGCTTGTGAGTGATCGGCTCCCTAGTTGAGTAAACAGGGGTTTGTATTAGTTCATGTGTCTGAACCGTCCCTGGGGACCAGCTGGGGGGCATGGCTTGTCACAAGGGAAACCCCACCCACACTCGTCTGAGCAATGAGGAAGCACGGGTTCCCGAACACAGGGAGTGTAGCTGTGTGTGGACTTCAGGACACGTTTGAAACAAGGGAAACCCCACCCACACTCTGAGCAATGAGGAAGCACGGGTTCCCGAACACGGGGAGTGTAGCTGTGTGTGGACTTCAGGACACGTTTGACCAGCGTGGCTGACGTCACGGGGCTGAGTCTCCCCCTGTGGTCACTGAGCATTGCCCCCCACATGCGGACTCCACTCCTGGCCAGGCTTCCCTGGGGGGGGGTGGAGGGGGGGAGAGAAAGCTCCTCCTTCACATACAGGGATAGGGGGATGGGGGTTTCCCTTTCCCCAAAGTCACTACAGTCCCCAGCCTCCCTCCCATGAGCCCAACTCAGGCCACTTTCTCTCTTGAGCCACCACCACGACAGGGAGTGTCACGAGCTTATGGCTCAGCTGACCAGGCCCGTCTCTGGGCTGCGAATGCGTTAGACTCTCCAATGGCGAGCGGGTGGCCTGGGTGCTGGGTGAGCTACCGAAACGCCGGCTTCAGGCGAGGCTGGCTCCAGGTGATGAGCTGACTCCTTAGGGACTGTCATCCTCCCCTCCTCTCTGCCTCCGTTCCCTTTGTGTTGGTTTCATTCACAAGCAGCTTTTCCCCAAGTGATGGCACAAAGGGTCGCCACGCTCGGTTCCAGGCGTTCGTCCTACAAGTGCAGCAGGACCAGCAGGGAGAGGCCGTCTTCACACCCTTTCCAGCCCAGACCCTGGTTCTGCCTTTCGCGGGCTTGGCTTAAGTCATGTGACCATCCTTCAACCAATGATTTAGACCAGGGGTCCTCAAACTTTTTAAACAGGGGGCCAGTTCACTGTCCCTCAGACTGTTGGAGGGCTGGACTATAGTTTAAAAAAAAAACTATGAACAAATTCCTATGCACACTGCACATATCTTATTTTGAAGTAAAAAAACAAAACGGGAACAAATACAATATTTGTATTTGCATGTGGCCCGCGGGAGGTAGTTTGAGGACCCCTGATTTAGACCCTGAGGAGACTGGACTGCTCTCATTGGTCTGGCCTGAGTCACAGGCTATTGGCCCCATCCAAACCCTTAGACAGAGAGAAGAGGAGGGGGGTCCCCCAGAGGAAACCTGGGGGTGGGGGGGGCTGTTATCAGAAGGAGGTGAGCTGGAGAGACCTTGACCGCAGTTGCCCAGGGCACAGGGGTTCCGTCTGCCTCTGGTGGCTGAGCCATTTATCCACTCGGTCATTCAACATGTGCTCACTGAGCACTTTGGGCCGGCCGCGCTCCTGTAGGTGTGTGTGGCGGGCGGGGGCGG